CCCTCCTGATAATATGTCCAAAGTATGTGAGATGTAGTCTTGCCATCCTTGCTTCTAAGGAGCATTCTGGCTGTACTTCTTCCAGGACAGATTTAGTCATTCTTTTGGCAGTCCATGGTATATTCAGTATTCTTTGCCAACACATAATTCCGACATGTCAGTTCTCCTCCAGTCTTCCTTATTCATTGTCCAGCTTTCGCATGCGTATGAGGTGATTGAAAATATCACGGCTTGGGTCTTTTAGGGGTTTGGAAAGATACTCTGCTTTTATCTGCATACCAGTTAACACAGGGTACAGCTTTATTGAGGTGTGCTCCTACGTTCTTTGCATTTACTATGGATACCTCCAAAAACGTCATTCATTCATTAAATTGAAGAGAACGCTGTTGATCTGACTGATGGCTGCAGAAGAGAGGAGGTGTGCCCGTCCTGGGTACTGGATTTGTTTTGCAGAGGCAGTTGAAAGAGAACAGTATGAGACCAACGTCAGATAAGCCTGAGCTGTGTCTGCTGTCCGTGAGCTGGGCACGCAGACAGGCTCCGAGAAGCTCCTGTGAGCTGCGAGAGGGTTAGTACACTCAGTGTCGGATGCATGCTGGTCAGCATTTTTGTTTACTGGCCAGGCAGGTCAGAGGCCCCTGCTGCTCACCCAGAAGAGCCTGGGCGCGGGATCCTCCTGAAGTCAGGGGCCTTGGGTGCTGCTGCTCTGCTCATAGACACTGCATTGTTCCCTCAGCGCCCACTGGGCTGAGCAGGGCAGGCCCAGGCCAACCTGCAGACCCCGAGGTGGCTGGGGCAGGAGGGTGTCCTGGAGGCCTCGCGATGTGTGGCCCCCAGCATCTCCGCCCAGCCTGGTGCCCTGGAGCTGTCCCTGAGGCCATTCTCTCAGAGCTGAGCTGAGCTGACTGCCACCAGGTGCCACTGGGCCCTGCAGACCTTACGTGGCTCCCTTGCCTCTCCTGCCCTTGCTCTCTGCCCTGCTCCTTTCCACATGGCCGTCAGGGGCTGTGGGTGCTGCTGCCCTGCTCACAAGCCCGGCACTGTTCCCTCACCGCCCACCATGTGGAGCCTGGCAGGCCTAGTCCGGGGGCAAGAGGGTGGCCATCTTGGCAGGCTGGCCTCACTGGCCTGTTGGGGCTTTCCTAGTACTCGTTGACCCCTCATGGTCCCTTTGTGGGCCTCAGGATCGCTGCGGACTCTAACCCAGGACTTCCGGCATTAGCTTTTCACACCTGGCTGAGTGCTCAGTTGCACTGTCTCCTGGATTGCGGGCGGCAGCCTGTGGTATGAAAGAACACCCGCACTGGTGTCTCTGGGCTAGGGATGCGTGGGCCAGAGAGGCCACCCACTTGGGTCTAGGCTTCTGTGCAGCCCCCTCAGAGGAGCCGAGGAGGGCATGTGCAGAGCGGGTGGGCTGCTCTCCAGGCATGAAGCTCGCTCTGGCCTTCCAGATTTTGACCCAGGGCGAGTGAAGCAGAAATGTTTCCTCAGGGCGGAGTTGCTTCTTGCCGACCCAGATCACTGTATTGGTTTTCTTCTTTTCCACAGAGGAATTGTATTTGGGGTGAGCGGGGAGAGAATACTAACACTAGTGTGCTTTACGTTTTAAAATAATGCATGCTTGTTAACTGCGTAAAGTCCCAGAAGCCCTCCGCAGTGTCACCCCTCGTCACTGCCGCCCTGTCCTCGGTCCGTTGTTGAGTGTTTTTGTTTTGGGATGATTGTAGTCATGCACAGGAACCCTGGTGACACAACGGTCAAGTGCTTGGCTGCAAACCAAAAGGTTGGCAGTTCGAACCCACCCCAGCGACTCCACAGGAGAAAAGACCTGACGATCTGCTCCCATAAAGGATAACAGCCAAGGAAATCCTATGGAGCAGTTCTGCTCTGTCACATGGGGTCACCATGAGTCAAAATCAACTTGATGGCACCTAACAACAACTCACAGACGTTAGGTGGCATAAAACAAGACAAACATTGGGATTCTGAGCCCAGCTGAAGAACTCGATTTATCATAGTGGGTGAAAATGTCATCAGAGACAATCTTAGGAAGATACTGGAATTCCTTAGACAGATGTGGAGCCATGAAATGTGGGCAGGTTAGTGAGCTGGCAGCTGCGGTCACTTAGCTGTTCAGGTCCCCAGGATTCCTCACGTAGAGTGATGGAATGCCTTTGTTTTCCACCGGTCTCCACGTGCCCGGGGCCACCTGGACAGGTACTCAGTGCAGTTTCTGGAGACCCCGGGCCACGTTGGCACCCTGTTCCCAGTCCCTGGTGGCTGTGTCCCGGAGGTCTTGGTTATCAGGGCATCTCTTACTAATCTGGGAATTTTGCCAGAGTGGACCTCATTTTTATGGAAAAATGCAATAAGATCCCAAAGGCACCTGATCTGAACCAACTAATCCATCACAGGGCGTGTGTAGATGAGGGGTGAGTGATTCTGGGTCTAGCACCGTCCTGGAAACTAGCCACGCAGAAAGGGTGAGGGTCTACCCCTCCCCAAGGGGTGCAGACGGGGCTTATGTGGTTGGCTGCATGGCAGTGGACACCGAACATGAAGACCTGCCTGGTGGGGTTGTCCCCTGCTGGACATTTGCGTCATGGCGGTGCACACATCTGAGGAGGACCTGCCTCATGGGGCCGTCCCCTGCTGGACGTGCGGCATGGCGGTGCCTGCATCTGAGAAGGACCCGCCAGGTGGGGACATCTCCTGCTGAACATCTGCGGCATGGCAGTGCACGCATCTGAGGAGGAGCTGCTGGTGGGACCGTCCCCTGCTGGATGCCGACGGCATGGCTGTGCACGTGTCTGAGGAGGATCTGCCTAGTGGGGCCGTCCCGTCCCTTGCTGGAT